TCCCCCCTCCTTCCTTTCTCCCTTCTTTCCTTCCTCCTTCCCTCCTTTCTTTCCTACCTTCCTCCCTCTCTCCCTGTCTCCCTCTTTCCATTCCTCTCTCCCTCCCCTCCTCCCTACCCTTCCTCCCTCTCTCCTTCCCTCCTTTCTTTGCCTTTCTCCCTCTCTCTCTTCTTTCCTTCCTTCCTTCTTTCCTCCCTTCTTCCTACTTTCCCTTTTCTTTTGTTTTATCCCTCACCCTTAACATACACCAATTGATATCTCCCTCTCTCCTCCCCTTCCTTTGTCTGTCTCTCCCTTTCTTCCTTCCCTCTCTCCTTTCCTTTCTTCTTTCTTTTTTTAATATACGAGTTTATGATTACCCTATAAAGTAGATTTTCGTATCTTTTTGTTTTTTATGAGGGTCGAAGTGTGGAGTTCCTTAAACTTTTCCACTTTGGGCAGGTTTAGCAAACTCCAAGTGATTCTTTTTTTAAAAAATCAACTTGGAGTAGTTTACTGTAGCCCATTTACAGTGAGTTCCATCTAGGACTGCACTGTCTTATACAGCAATGGATAGATAGCTATGGGTGGCTGTTGAGAACTTGAACATGCAGCTAGTTCGACTTGCGATGTGCTGTAGGTGTAAAATGCACACCAGATTTTGAAGAATTGGTATGCAAAACAAGAATGTAAAATCTTGACATTGATATTAATTATTTTATAATTACATGTTAATATAATACTTTGAACATATTGGGTTAAATAAAATATATTATTGAAATTAATCTCACCTCATTTGATTTTCTTTTTAAAAGTTGATACTAGAAAATTTCAATTTGCCTATTTGCTCAAATATGTAATTGGACTGGGTTGATCTAAAGAGTAAATAGAGGAGCAGAGCAAGGCATATAAAGTAAATGACCCACCTTCACCATTCTCTCCTGCCTCCCTTTTCCACATAAGGTTGAGTGTACCTGTGCATTCTGCTTTGTAAGCGCTTTTAAAAAGTCTTGTTTCCTCAAACAAAGATTTTGAATTGCACTTTGAGTTCAGTCACAGGATAATATTTTGCATTGGTTCTGATTTGTGTTTATTTCATTTTTTTAATTGGAGGGTATAGATTTTGAGTAAAATTGAGTATTTTTATTTATTCTTTTTACATATTGTATTTATTTTAACTTTATTTTAAAGATGTGAGGTACGATATTCAGGTTTACGTATACAAGTGGTCATCATATAGGTAAAGTTTGGACCTCCCTTTGGTCTCCACTTTGCCTGGTTTGAGATCAGGCACCCTTATTGATATTATGTGCTCTCCCTCCCCCAATTCCCCCCTCAGTATCCTGCTACTGCCATTCCCTTTCTTATAGTATTATGATAAATGTTCAGGTCTGCTTATGAGTGAGAACATGTACTCGGTTCTTTGTTTCTGTGATAAATCACTGAGTATTATAGACTCTAAATCCATCCAAGTTGCTGCGAAGTCCATATAATTGTCCTTCTTTATGGCTGTGTAATATTCTATCATGTATATGTACCACATTTTTTTCTTTCAATGGGCAGCAAAGTTTGTTCCATGTTTTTGCTATTGTGAACAGAGCTGCATGCAGGTATCTTTTTTGTAGAATGATTTGAGTACCTCTGGGTATATTCCCAGAAGGAGGATTTCTGTGTCATATGGAAGGTAAATTTCTAGTTCTTTTAGTAATCACCACACTGTTTTCCATAGAGGTTGAACTAATTTGCATTCCCACCAGCAGTGTAGAAGCGTTCCTTTTCTTCACATCCATGCCAGCATCTGTTGTTTTTTGTTTTACTGATGGTGGCCATTCTTACTGGAAGTTAGGTGGTATCTCCACGTGGTTTTGATTTACATTTCTCTGATGATTAGTGAGACTGAGCACTTTTTAATGTGCCTGTTGACTGTCTTTATATTTTCTTTTGAGGAGTGTCTATTCTTGTCTTTTGTTCACTTTTTAATGGGCCTGTTTATTTTCTTTCAGCATGTATGAGTTCCTTGAAATCCTGAATGTTAGACCTTTGTCAGATATACATTTGACAAATATTTTTTCCCATTGTGTGGGTTGTCTCCCCACTCTCTTGATGGTTTCTTTTGCTTTGTAGAAGCTTTTCAGTTTGATGAGGTCCCACTTGTCTATCTTATCTCTTATGGCATGGGCATCTGGGGTTTTGATCGGGAATACTTGTCTATTTCAATTCCCATAAGTTTGTCTTCTTCATTTTCTAATGTTCTTATAGTTTGAGGTTTTATGTTTAGGTGTTTGATCCATTTAGAGCTGATTTTTATGTATGGCATTAGGCAAGGATCCTGTTTCAGTCTTCTGTGTGTGGTCAGCCAGTTTTCCCAGCACCATTTACTATATATGTTGTCTTCTTCCCAGTAGTTAAATTGCGTATTTTTAAATGAACTTGTAAAAATATAAAAGGAGTACATATTCATGGTTTAAAAATCACTCAACATACAGGTATGGAATGAAAATGTAAAATTTCTCATTTCTTCCAGAAGGAAGTTTCTGTTCTAGAAACTGTGTGCGCGTGTGTGATTGTTTACCTAAAAGAGCTTTTATGCTGCTTTTTTTTTTTGCCACTTTCGTTTTACAAGGAGTTTTTTTTGGCTACCTTTCCAGAAGATTACAGTAAATGTATTATTTTTAAAGGATTTGTATAGTAGTCCAGGAAATCCATGATAATTTATGTAGCTTTTCTTTCTTTCTTTTTTTTTTTTTTTTGAGTTGGAGTCTCACTCTGTCACCCAGACTGGAGTGCAGCGGCCGCTCCCGGCCACCACAGCCTCAACCTGCTGGGCTCCGGCGATTCTTCCGCCTCAGCCTTCCGAGTAGCTGGAACTACAGGCGCGCGCTATCACGCTCGGCTGATTTTTTTTTGATTTATTGTAGAGATGAGGTCTCGCCAAGTTGCCCAGGCGGGTCTCGAACCCGCGGGCTCAGGCAGTCCACTCACCTCAGCCTCCCAAGGCGCGGAATTACAGGCTGAGCCACCGAGCCCGGCTGTAACTTTTCCTAATGAGGACTTAGGATACCTTCAATTAAATTTTTATTGAGATAATTGTAAATTATCATAGTTAGTAGGTGAGAAATTGTCAGATTCAGAGCACAGGTAGAGGATTATACCTTACTAGGAAGAGGTGGCTCCTGATGGGTAAGAACAAATTTCATGTGAAAGAAACAGGAAGAAGGTGTTTCATTTTCTTTGTTAATGAGACTGTGAACTCTGTGAGAACATGTGCCTTGTCTCATTTAATCAGTGTTTTTGTACCACCTAGAATGGTTGTGAATGTACTTGGAAGCTTTTCAAAATTTTAGTTTTAGATGAATGAGTAAAAGAAGGAATTAAGGAAAGAAGAAGGGGAAGGGGAGAGGAAATAAACAAAGAAGAAGACAGATAGAAAGACCAGGGCTTTGAAGACAAGAATGAAAGTTTGAAATAGTGTCATGGAAAATAAAATAATAACCGACTAATATCTTTTCAGACATTTTTTTTTACTAAGTACTACAATGAAAACAAGCAAACAAAAAACAGAAAAAGAACAAAAACACATATTGCATTGCAATTCATGCATACATGCATACATATATATGTAGTAAAAATAAACAAAAATTATATTGAACAATTCTGATCTTCAATCCATATCACGCAGTTATATATTTTTTATGCCTATTCTAACTTTTCCTATTCTATAATTAAAACTTGCTGATCCAACTTGATTGTATTTAGAGTCAGTGATGCTCAGTGATCTATCACAGAAACAAAGAACAGAGTGCCATATGTTCTCACTAATAAGCGGATCTTGATCAATTATCATAATACTATAAGAAAGGGATCAGCAGTAGTGGGAGACTGCCCAGGGGACGAGGGTGGGATTGGCAGTTGAGGGAAACTGCCAGGGGAGGAGGGTGGGCACACTTCATCAACAAGGGTACCACCATAATTAACATGTGTACCTAACCCTGAATTGTACACCCACATCTTTAAAATAAAAATTTTAAAACTTAAAAAAAAAACTTGCTGATCGAAAGCCATTACATTGATTTCCGGATATACTAATGAGTCATGACTTGCAGTCTGAAGACTATCGGACCAGGGGATGTACAGAAGGATTGCTGGGCAGATTTAGAGCTTGACAGAGTTTGGAAAGTGGAAGAGCATTGGTTTTGCATTCAGATCTCTAAGTTAGGTTTCTGCCTCTATTACTTTTTAGCATAATGACTTTGTTCAGTTAAATAATTTCTTCAAACCTGGGTTTTTTTTTTCATATATACAATAACTCAATGACTTCAACCTGTTAAAATATTCTGAAGATTATCAATTACACAAATGTCTTCTAGTGCCTAGCTTGTAACAGGTACTCAATACACGAAAGCTAATCATGGTGATGATAATGATGATGTGAAGATAGAATATACTGACTGACTCATAGCCATTATAAGCACTAATGATTTAAGCAAAATAAATACTGAGGTTGTATGCTACAAATACCTGTCATGCAACATGTTATGTTGGCAAAAATATGTGACTTTCTCTGGTAGAATTAACAGAATTCTAAGTTAATAAGTAGAAAGTAGTTATATATCTTCTCCATACATAGACTTAGGTTTTTCTCTTATGAATATATTAATCTCTGAAATTTAAACTGTTCATAGGTATTTTGCTGTTACTTATGCTTATGAGATGAGTTTTTCCTTGAAGTTTCTTTTTTCTGGAAAATAACCCAGCCCATTACTTGTTACTTTTTCTTTAAATAATATTTCTCCAACATAAGAGTAATAGTAGAGTTGATCACTTTGTAGTCAAAATTTTTAAGAGAATGAATAAATTAATGAAGAGATAAAATGAAGTTATTTGATATATAATAAGTCATAATGAGATGTGATAAAAGTTTTTCAAATTAAAGCATGTTTACATAGAATGTGTTGGATTGGTATGATAAATTAAAGAACCTATAGTTTTTAGTGACATAATAGCTTCTTCATTTTTTAAATGGTTTTGTGTTTTATTATGAAGAAAAATGGAAGATGATGATGCAAAACTCACAGCAGAAATAGACGCTGAATTGGATAAAATCAGCATTTCTTCCTCAGAAAAGCATGACACTGAGAGTGATTCAAAATCAGAAATACAGAGTGACAATAGTGACACAGTAAGTGTTAAGTGTTGCAGTTTTGAGCCTTTTAACAAGTGTAAGCTTTCCAGGAGAAATATTACTTTTCTCAGGATGTTTTATATATTTTTCTTTTTTTTTTTTTTGTTAGGAGTACTGTTATAAACAGTGTATATGAATAAATATTAAAATATAGAAATATATTGAAGATACAAAACCAACATAATTCCTCATGTATTTTTTCCACAATAAAAATATATATGAAATCTTTAGACTTACAGAAACAGCTACTTTTTGGACTCAAACAAGTTATACTTTCATTCATGTATTTTTCCCAATATTTATATGCTTATAAAGTCTATTCATGGATTTATTCTTTTACATCAAAATTCTTAACCCAATTGTAATTTATTTTCAGGAATATTATGAGATGTATATCAAATTTGAAAATGCTTTGTGCATATTTAGCTAACATTTCCAGTGTTCCCTGTTAAAAATTTTCTGTTTATATTTAATTCTTGTGCATATGATCTATCCAAGGCTATCTATCACTTTTCTTTTTTTGAAAATTTTTTCTATTGTAGGTTTATATTTTAAAATATTTAATGGGTCAAGTTACTTTCATTGTTTTACCATTTTAAAATCTTCTCAACTAAGCTATTTAAAAAAAACTTCATTTTTTTAGGTTTCAAAAAAATTCACTTTGTTTTTAAATTAAGATTGCACTAAACGTATTACTTTTCAAAAATTTATATTTTTACATTATTACATTTTACATTATTATCCTGTTTTTATCCTGAGTTAATTTATTTCCTATTTTTATTTATGTATTTATGTATGTATGTATGTATGTATATATGTATTTATTTATTTTGAGTAAGGGCCTCACTCTGTTGCCCAGGTTAGAGTGCAGTGGCACAATCACGGCTCACTGCAACTTCCTACTCCAGGACTCAGGCAATCCTCCTGCCTCAGCCCCCTGAGTTTCTGGGACTACAGGCACATGCCACCATGCCCAGCTAATTTTTTGATTTTTGTAGAGAAGAGGTCTTTCTATGTTGCTCAAGCTGGTCTCACACTCCAGGCACACACCACCATGCCCAACAAATTTTTTGATTTTTTAGAGACAAGGTCTTGCTATGTTGCCTAGACTATTCTCAAACTCCTGGGCTCAATGAATCCTTTCACCTCAGCTTCCCAAGGTGGTGAGATTATATGCATGAGCCACCATGCCCAGCCCAGAGTTAATTTAAATGAGACAAAAATATCTGAGCTCGTTTATTTGACTATGAAATCCAATAATGGACTTTATTATATTTTATTATACCTATATACATAACAGAAGAAAAATAAAATATTAAAGTTCTTGTGAGTTAATTAAGGTACCTCATAATTATTTGTATCATTCAGAATCAATTTAAATGTATTACCAGAGGAAGAAATTATTAAAGATTAAAAATTAGGAATTATAAATTATATTTCACAGGACATAGCAACAATCTCTACAATCCAAGTGTCTTAAAAGACTTCTTAATTAAAGAAGAAATATAAGTCTCAATGAAGGACAAGGACAGAAGAGTAGAGTTGATATTTTTGTCAGTATGTTTAATATACTGCTTTATCAGGATTAACTATATAACATAGAATTTTGTGTGCTTTTCTATAGTACTAAGGGGAAAGGTACATTTTCTAATTATCTTCTGATGTTAATTCTCTAAGCTAAGCACTAAATTCCATTAATTAGCATAGAGAAAAGAAAGCTGTCTGAAAGTCTTAAATTTAACATATGGAAACCCAGTATGGCATGAAAGGATTTTATAGTTAGATGAAATCAGGCACATATAATGTTTCTCTATATCAGAAATATGTATATTAATTCATTTATGTTATGTTTTGGGTTGCTTAATGAAATTTTATAGTCATGTGGATATAGGTATAGACATAAAACTTCAAAATTTATTATTAAAATTATTTCTAGATGCTTTAAATATTCTATTGTTATTGTGAATGTTATTTCCCTGCATTATATTTTCAAACTAGTTATGGTGTTTATCGAGGAAATAATTTTGTTTTCACATTTTGTATATCAATATATTTGGCTAACTTAGCTCTTTAGCTAATTGATATACATTGATTATATTGGTTGATATTTCAAGGTCATAAATATAACTAAATTTGTGTTTGACAATCAGAAATTAAATTTGGAATGTATTAAATAATTATAACAGGTATTAGTTTTATATTAAATATTTTGGAAAAATCTTGCAGTTTTAGTATTTGATAATATTTGTTTGAAGGTAGGATTAATCTAAAAATATACACACTATTGAGGACAATTACAAATAAAAGACTTCTAGTAAAGTTAGTGAAAATGATGTGTAGAAAACTCTTTTTATTTGTTTTATTACAATTTTTCAGAAATGCATAACAAACTGAAAATTAAAAGCAAATTATGACCAAATATATTTGCCTTAATTATGCTCTTTATATGGAACTTTTTAATTTCATTTACACATTTTGGTCAAACTTTTGGTGTGGCATAAAGGGTGCAATATTTGATATATTTTGTCAATAAACTTAATGCATTTATTTTATTATTTAAATGTTTAGGATTTAGTTGAATTACCAGAGTCAGTTCTTCATTGTATTAACATCATAAAGAGCAAGAGTAAATCTGCTGAAGAGCTAATTCTTCAGGACCTGGAAGAAACTGATGTTTTAAGTAAGTACAATTTTCATCTGCATGGAAGTTATGTTTCCTGTAAGTATGAATAAATAATAAAGTAGAAAACTAAATTGCATGAAGTTCTTATCTCTTATTGTATATATGTATATGCATTTACTGTATTTCTAATATAATATCTATAGTACGTTAGACTATTGGGTTTAGTTTGTTAATTTTTTTCCCTTACTACCTTTCATAAGTCTCCAATAAATGCTAACCACCAACAGCTTGTTTCCCCGGTCTTAATTAATACCAGACCTTTTATTACTTTATGTTAAAGAAAACTAATTATGGGACTATTTTTAAAGTATCAATATAAACATCTTTTTGCAGAAAAATATAATCATTTGTATGAAAAGCCTAAAAATTGATTTGCTTGAACTGAGAAAATTTGCTTTCTAAGAATAATAGAATGATCAAAGATTTATCAGAATTAATCATAGCTTGGCTTGTAATCAGAAATGGCAATAACTGGTATGTTCAACAGGGACTTGGTTTGTCAAATAATACACCCATTAGTAAAGATGACATATACAAATATTTAATGACATTAAATGGTTCATAATATATTGAAAGCTATATTAAAATTCAATGCTATTTATGCAAATATTAGTACAAGTTGTAATGTGAATATTTATAGATACACATTCAACAAATATTACTGTGTGACAAAATGTGTTCTAGTCACAGAATACAGCAGTGAACAAAATAGGCAAAGGTGCTACTATTTTGTTCTAATGTTTCACTGTTGGGAGACACACTATCAATAAATACATATTACTTCAATAATGATAACTGATATGAAGGAAAAAATTCAAGGTAAGGGATTAGAGACTGGAGGTTGCTTTTTTAAGAAGAGTAGTCAGGGATGGTCTCCATGAGAGATGATCTTTAAGCAATGAGTTTATTAAATGAAAAGGTGAGCCACATGGATATCTAGAGAACCCATGATCCAGAAAGAGGGAAGTGTAAAGGCCTACTGAGTGGACTGAATATATCTGAAGAACAGCAGGCAAGTGTTTCTGGCTGTATTTGAGAAAACAAGGGATTAGTTAGTATAGGGCTCTTAGAAACCATTGGTGCACTTTGGCTTCTGTTTTCATCATGTAGAAGATTTTGAGTAAGCAGTGGCAGTGTCTGACTTTTATTTAGATTCCGTCGTTGTTCCACACTATGTAGAGAAGATGCCTTAAAGTTTAAGGCATGAAGAAAGAAAAGGATTTATTGATAGATTGGTGCAAAATGAAGAGAGAAATGTGGCGCCAAAAATTTTGTACAGAATGCCAGTGCAAATTGATTTACTGAATACGCTTCAAATGTTTACAGTGATTATCTGTGGTTGAATTACAAGAGATGTTAATGGTTCATTTTCCTTATTTATCTGTACTAGAGTTTATACAGTGAAAATATATTCTAAATATATTGACAGCCATATAGCCTAATTATAGCCTAATTATGAAAAAAAACAAAGCAAAGGAAACACAATTGTAGCAAATTAGTTACATGGAATGAAATACAGCAGTGGTTTAGAAAATTAGGAGAAGATCTTATAATCAGCTCTAATTCAATAGGTATGATAAGCTTAGTGAATAATTTTCCAAAAAAGTTAAATTCTCAAAAGTATTTGAAAAAGTGAAAAAATATGACTAAATAATATAACAAAGAAGTGGAAAGGGATATTTTTCTAAAATGTTATTAAACTAAAAAAAGTTTATAACTGGATTCTCAGAACTCATCAAGGAGCAAAAAATTCTCATACCATGGAATAATTCATTTGTAAAAAGGCTACATATTTTAGATCAAAGCTGTACAAGCATAACATAAACACAACAAAGTTAGATGTATTCATTGGGGTTCTCAGTGGTAGAAAACAGACACTCCAGCTACTCTACACAGTAAGTTTTTTTGTTATTATGTGTAGAGGAGATATTCTGAATATTTATTGCTATAAGACAAATTTAGAGTGTCAAATTATTACTCTCTTATGGTTCTATCAGTTGACTAGGCTCATCTGGGCAGTTCTTGCTTGAGTTTTATCTGCATTTATAGTCAGATGTTGGTTAAGTCTGTAGTCATCTGAAGGCTTGACTGAATTGGAAATTCAAGATGGCTCATTCAAATAGCTGGCAATAGATGCCATTTGTTGGCAGAGGAGTTCAGATGCATCTGTCAACTGGAGGCACATGTGACTTCTCCTTGTAACTTGTACTTCTCAGAGCATGACACCTAGATTCTGAGAAGGAGCATTCCAAGAACAAAAACCAAGAGACCAAATTGGAAACTCATAGGACTTTTATGTCCTTTTCTCAGAATTCATCATTTCTACCACATCCTGTTGGTCACACAGGGTCAGCTTAGGTTTTGTGTGGAAGGCAACCACACAAGTTGTATATACCTGGAGGCAGGGTTCTTTGAGAGAAAACCATCTTTGCAGACTAATTACTGCAATCAATAACTAAATTATTAATACTACTGGAAAAACAAACTCTGGGATAAACATCCAAGGTAAAAAACAAACCCCACACATACATTGCAGAACTAGGCTGCAGCAGAACCTGATGTTTGTCATAATAAATTCAGAGATATTAACCCTCTACTGTATGCTGCTACCTCCTACTCAAAACTTCCCCCATTGCATTCTGGGTCAGAAAAATGAAAATATCATTACCTGCTTCTCTTCTGACATAATATTTTAATGACAATAAAGCCTTCTGAAAATATATTTATGGGAAGAAACTAAATCATTCTCAGAAACCTATCTGCAAAGAAATATAGAAAATGTTTTATCTTTTCAGCCTCTTACACAGGAAGGCATGCCAGAAAGGTTGTGAATAGATATTAAGGAAGAAAATCTATAAATCTGATAAAATAGTTGAATAATTAGTTAGCCACAAAAATGATCTTCTGTAAATATAGTTTGCTATTAGGAAACATTACCATGATATAACACATTAATTGAATGAAGAAAAAGAAACATAACTATATCATCACAAATAATAAAAAGATGATACAATTCAGCAAAATCTCATAAAACTAGGAATAAAATTCCACTTTATTCATACGTTAGTAATTATCTTTTAACTAATATTTTTACTAAATTTTAAATATCTTGTTCAAGACTATTTGCCAGTTTGTGGAAGATAGAATTTTTTAAGTTGGTGTCTCATTCTGTCGCCCAGGTTGTAGTGCATTGGCACAGTCATGGTTCAATGCAGCCTTGGATCTTCTGGGTTCAGGTGATCATTTTATGTCAGTCTCCCAAGTAGCTGTGACTATAGGCGTGAGCCACCACACCTAGCTATTTTTTTTTTTTTTGGTAGGGATGAGGTCTTACTCTGTTGCCTAGGCTGGTTTCAACTCCTGGGATCAAGTAATACTCTCACCTTGGTCTCCCAAAGTGCTAGAATTCCAGGCATGAGCCACTGTACTTGGCCAAATTTTGTTGATTTCTAATCAAGATGTCATTTTGTTTTTTTTTTTTTGAGTTGGAGTCTCACTCTGTCGCTCAGACTGGAGTGCAGTGGCCGCTCCCGGCCATCGCAGCCTCGACCTGCTGGGCTCCGGCATCCTTCTGCCTCAGCCTTCCGAGTAGCTGGTACTTCAGGCGCGCGCTACCATGCCCGGCTGATTTTTTGATTTATTGTAGAGATGAGGTCTCGCCAAGTTGCCCAGGCAGGTCTCGAACCCGCGGGCTCAGGCAATCCACTCACCTCAGACTCCCAAAGCGCAGGATTACAGGCTGAGCCACCGAGCCTGGCTTATACTTTTATTATTGGAATAAAAATAACAGATTTCTCCTGTTCTTAATTCTTCTTCATTTTTCTGTTGTTTGAGTTACTCTTACTGATCAAGAATATACCCTGATAGAATTCAGATTATTTTATTCATAAGTGGACCCAGAACACCTGTCATAATACTACAAAAAAGTGATTGGCAGTAGCCCGACATTGCCCTGGGAGAAGGGGAACACATGACATCGATAAGGGTGCCTGATCCTAATCCAGGCGAAGTGAGGTCCTATGGGAGGCCCAAAACTTCACCTGTACTTATACCACTTATGTACACAATCCTAACTTGTACCTCAGGACTTTAAAATAAAATAAAATAAAATTTAACAAGAGAATTCAGATTAAAAGGTTTTAAAATGACTTGAGATTTTGACATGCTTTATTTTACTCATATTTGAAGTTACAATTTTTTTCTTTCTTTAGGCTGCAGTTATGGAGCAGTTTCTAATTATATGCATTTAAGGATAGGATTATCAACAGAATATGAAGAAAATCCAGAGCAATTGATGAAGGTATATGTTCAACATTTTGAACATTACAGTTAGAAATTTTTATTTCCCTCTTACACAGGGTGATAGTTCGCTGAATTAAAAATTAAAAAGTTAATTTTCTTTTTTGTGAGTTGGAGTCTCACTCTGTTGCCCAGACTGGAGTGCAGTCATGCCCACCCCAGCGTTGACCTGCCGGGCTCAGGTGATCCTTCCGCCTCAGCCTTCCAAGTAGCTGGAATTACAGGCGCATACTACCATGCTTGGCTAATTTTTGATTTATTGTAGAGATGAGGTCTCACCAAGTTGCTCAGACTGTTCCCAAACCCGTGGACTCAGGCAATCCCCCCACCTTGGCCTCCCAAAGAGCTGAGATTACAGGCTTGAGCCACAGCACCTGGCCAAAATGCTAATTATTTTTAAGCAAATTATTTTTGATTTCATAGTGTCATCTAGCATATAATATAAAACCATTCAAATTACAATATTCAAGAATATTAAAAGTAGTGCTTTGAGCTATTAATGCTTGGGAACTTAATTTGCATGTAGATAAAACAGCAGAATTACATTGCATGAATTTTTTTTCTCAAAAAACTCTAAGGACTTAATGAATATACAAATGTTTATTACCTTTTTTAGGAATGCACCCTGTTCCAGCAGAGACTTTGAGTACTCTATTGACATTTTAAATTAAAAAAATCTTATACTAGTTTCCAAAAACAAATAAAAAGAAAACATACTTAAAAATAAGAGTAAGGAAGAGCATAGCATTTTATTAGGTTAAACTCCCACCAATATAGTTAAGGGAGAGTCTCTTCCCTAGATTCACTTCTTAGATTCATTTTTATCTCATTTTATCTAACTCTACCTCATTTTACCTAATTGTATCCCTGCTTCCTAAGATTTTTAACATAATTTGAAAATTACTTATGTCTTTCCCCTTTTTTGATTGTTTTACGTTTTTAGTGTTTTTAAAAATAATGCTCAAATTTGATTTATTAATTTTAAATTATTTATTACTACTTTCTTGGAGTAAATATCTGGTATCTTTCCAATTAGAGTGTGGTGAAAATCAAATTATGGAAAATTATTGACCAAAATTATGATTTATGTATAATTTGGGTTAAAGTGGAGAATTCTTTTATCCTATTGAATATGTTAAAAATTTGTATATGTGAACAATCACTACAGTTAAGAAAGATAGAAATGTATTAGAGGGAAGACAAACATTAGTAGGAACATTCTGAAGTGATTATCAAGCAGTTTAATTGAATCTTGTGGATTAATGTTAAAGACAGATTAGAGTTATGAAAAACATAAGGAGTGAAAATATAGTGTGCTCACATGGAAAAAACATGTTTACTCTTCATAAAGAGAAGGACTATCAATGTGCTGTAGAGTTGTATTTGAGAGTGATTTAGAGTAAATAAAATTCTTGACATATATAAATATTTAATATGCTATTAAAATGTTAACTTTACTTCTGTTTTGGTTTTCTTTAACCATTGGCACTCACTTAACCTTTTAGATATTATCTGAACTAGAAAAAGAAGAATTTATGAGAAGTAAAACCGAGCATGCCAGTTCTGATTCTGTTCCCGAGCCTGGTCCTCATGACTTGCCTATGGATGAAAACGTTTTACCAGGTGGACTAAACTGCTTAATTCTATTTTTGATACTTTTAATATAATTGACCATAGTTATCTTAGAAAAATTTATACAATTGTTTTCTTTTTTGACATTTAGAAAAACACAATTAGAATGTTTGAAAATTATTATGCTTTTGCTAAATTAATTTAATTACGGGTTTTCATAGTTTTTCAATGCTTCCTAAAGTAACTTAGTTTAAATACATTTTTCCATATGTATAGTTGACTGCAATAGATATACCTAGTTCTGAATTTATTAAGTATCTATAAACTATATCCCTTAACCATCCTTTAACTACACACACACACTCACACATATTTTAAGGAAACTTATGTGACTTCTTAATTGACTAAAATGGAATCTCCATGTATGTTCAAGAATGTATTTTCTTTCTTCAAATTAGCACTTTGGTAATGTGTTGACATTATTTCTTCACTTTGGAATTACTTTTATTTTAAAAAACTGATACATTTTGGCACATTTAAGTATACTAATGTTATTTATTTTCATGCATGCAGATGATGCTGATATAAATTTTGGATACTATGAAGTGGAAGAAAGATGTAGACAATCTTTTGAGGCTTGGCAAGACAAACAGAAAGAGCTAGAAGACAAAGAAAAGGAAACTCTCAAAGCTCAGAGGGATAGAGAAGAAAAGCAATTTCAAGAAGAAGAAGAAAAGTGGCATTGCTGGATGAAACAGTTTGAAGTTGAAAAGAAGAAATTAGAGAATATTCATAAGGTATGGTGTTTTGTTTTTGTTTTATATATATATATATATATATATATATATATATATATATATATATATATATATAAAATCAGTAGCTGCCTCTGAAGGATATTGACATTTGAATCATGGTATGGGTTGAGATTCATTCTATGGCTTTTGGTTACTCCTAATGATGGAAGAAATTGACTGTAAATTAATAGTGTTTAAGATGAACTCCTTGATTTGTTTTTAATTGAAATTCATTAGGATTTCAGATACTGCTCTGGATCTTGGGGGTACTGTGAATCTATGAAGTTTAAAGGATCATTCTAGATAGTCTGAAATTTATAACATACACTATTGCTTTTTAAATATCCTTTTACTTGTAAGAAAATGCAACAGAATTTTCTCCATTATGCAATATCCTTTCTATGTGGTCTGGGATATGACACATTATATGAAACATATTTGGTTGAAGGGTTTCAATTACTTAAGGACACTCTATCCTCACTTTCATAATTGAGCTAGTTACTTAGACTTTTTGGTATGAAGGAGTTTTGAGTTGTTTTATTCCTGTGGTTTGTATTTTTGTGTCCTCCCACCCCCCAGGAGTTCTAGGCCATAGTAATGATATATTGATAAATGAGAACTGGTAAATTTTAGAATCCTGCTTGCAGGTCATCAAGATCTTAGAATGTCTGGAAAATGGGCATGACTGACTTCTCTTTCATTACTAAAGTTTATTTATATATTAGCCAGAACAGGCTGGTTTGAGTGTTCCATATAAAGAACATTAACTCATGGTCCTTAAAGCAGTTCAGGGTTTTCTAGCTCTTTGAGTATATTTTATTTCCTGATTATATATAAAATAAACAAATCGAATGCAATTGTAATATTGTACAACTAGTGTCTGCCACATCTTTTTCTAATTGTAAATTATGAATTTTTAACTTTCTTTTAGTTATGTCTTCTTTCTCATAGATTAGAATAGTAGTCATTTCTAAAATCAGAAAATTTTTTTAGTTACAGAATAAAATTGAATATTACCTAGAGTTTTAGAGTAGTATTTGCTGACTTGTGTTGAAATGCATCATTGATATTAAGTGTTAATGGTATTTTCTGATTTAGAAAATACCTGATTTTTAAATTCTGTTTAGCTAAGTTGTCATTCTTATTTGTTTTATAACTAAAATTTACTGACTATCTCAAGGACAAAGCATGCAGCTATGTACTTAGATAATGCAAAAGAAATCTAACATCTGAGACCCACCCTCAAAAAGTTATAACTCATTTTTTGAAAATAGTATATCATAAAATAATTATTTAAGAAAATGTGACATTATTAGGTTAATGAGTTTCTAAAGATGTCCTTTATTATGCCTTGGGGTTTAAAAATTTCCCATAGGAGATAGTCCACAAATTTATGATAGATTTTAATTATGTAATTTACTTTCTTTCAATAGTGCTTTTCTGGGTCCCTTATTAGCTCTTCCTTCTTTCCCCAAAATAGCTATCATAAATCTCTTAAATGTTTCACAGAACTTCTCTTCCCTCATTATGAGTAAATGATCACATAACATTTTTGCATCAGTTACAAACTTCTTCTTTCTAGTTCCATAGCTATTTAGTACTATACCCATCCTTTTTTTTGCCTTCCCTCTGATATTAAGTAAGGTTTTTTTCTTCTGCCAAAAGTTACCTTTTCCTTCTCTGCTTTATAGTCTATCATTTCTTGACTTTTTCCTGCTTTTTTTACATGCAGAAGCACCCCGTCAACTTCCTCCTTTCTAATTATTTATAAGAATGTTTAATTTTCTTCCATCCTAAAATTAAAACAAAAGAAAATCATGCGATCACCTTTGTTCTTATGTTTCACTTTATTTGTTCTTTAGCTCCACTGCTTAAAGAGTAATTATTTTATTATTCCCATCTCTTCATTTCTCATCCAATCCCAAATCTTCTAGGTTTCTAGTACCATCATTCCACTGGATAAAACTGCTCTTGAGAAAGATAACCAGTTACCTCTACATATCACACACACATATTTTTAAATTCTTATTTTGACCTCTGTAGCATTTTATGCCAGTAAAAATTTGATTGTTGACCATTTCCCTTTCCCTTGATTTTTGTGGATCACACTGTCTTGATTCTCTTCTTAAATGTTTGGCAATTCCTCCTTGATACCTATTTTACATTTCTTTTTCTCTCTCTGTCCTCGCATGTGGTAATGTAGATTCTATTCTTTGTCCTTTCCTTACTCCGTATAATTTCTTTCTTTATAATCCTATCCACAGACACAGATGTTGATAACCAAATAAATATTTATAACAAAATAAGGGAAATTTCATAACTCTCCTACAGATACCGCATACTCAGACCCTAAACAACTATCATAATAGTATAAGAAAGGGATTGGCAGTAACAGGGCACTGCCAGGGGAGACGGGCAGGAACACAACATCAATAAGGTTTCATGTTCCCAAACCAGGCAAAGGGTCCAGTGGGAGGTCCAACAGGAGGCCCAAATTCTACCTTATGTGACAACTTATATATCCAATCCTGACTTGTACCCCACATCTTTAAAATTAAAAAAAAATTTTTTTCAAAAGAAATTATCTAGAAGAAAAAAAAGGAACTTTCTGTATATAAAACCAAATGCAATGCCTTTTGTTTCTGAATCATGCTCCTTCTCTGAAATTCTTACTTTTGAAAGCCACATCATTAGTCCAAAGTAGAAAAATGAGGACAATTTTTTACTCTTCCATCTCTTTTATTACTCTTATTTCTCTAATTGTTGTATTGTCCATCTTCTTATCCATGTATTTATTGCTATTACATTGAAGTTCAAGCTGTCCTGTTGTTTAGCTTGGAATCTTTACTAATTGATCTCCCTGCCTTTGATCTTGGACCTTCATATTCATCTACCCATAATGCTGTCAGATAACTATTAAAAAGATTTCCTTGCTTAAGTTCCATCAGAAGATCCCATGGCACTTGTAAGATAATGTTCAAAGAACTTTTTCTATGTCCTTTATATCTACTTTGGTAATTTATGACACTATCACATTTATATTATGTTTACCTCTGATCCTACTTGTACTACCCTATCTTCTGAAAGCCCTCATTGATTCTCACATGTCCATCTCCAGTACTTTCTTGACTGTTCTTTCCTATTGTTTCCTTGATTCTCTTTTAATTTTATCTAATGTAGTATCAAGATTTTCCTAAAAACAGAGTTTTTAAAAATCATTTTCCTAGTCCAAAACTCTTAAGTATTGAAAGTATGTTTCATCTCTTAAAAACCTAGTCATTTCAAATACAGTCTTTTGCATTGAATCTTTTATGATCCTCTGATTATAATATTTGTTCCTACTAGGATACCTTTTTTGTCTTCCAATAAATTTATTCTGCTATATTTGGGATAATGAGTAAATTTATGATAGTGTTTCCATATTATAGGAACATTTTTTGAATTTTACTGATCTTTGTTTACTCCACAGAACCTTGAAAATGCATGCTAATAAAGAGGTATTAAAAGAAAATATTACTTACTAAAGTGATTGATTATGTGAATTAAATGTATGATGTGGGGAGAAACCAATTGTAGTGAAAAATCCGTCTTACAAACATTATATTTGTAAATTTTGCAATGCCCAACAGTATTTTTAAGCTAATACATTATATTCAAATAAATGGAGCAACTTCCCCAAGACCTGTTTATGTTCTCAGAATGGAAACTCTTATCATTTAAATGACACATTAGTTTGAGGTGAAAATTATCATTTCAGTACTAAAAAAGTAAAAGCAATTGGGTTTAAGCGCACTTTAGCCACTGTAACTCACAATATATATTGCGAGAATCATATATAATGAACATGATCCTTTTTGATATTTGAATATAATATTTTTATTATCATATGTTCAGCAAGAACAGGACAAGATGAATGATGAACTCCAAAAGGAAGAGGAAATGTGGAAAGAGAAATTTAAACAGCATGAGGTATCCATTTGTTGTCTTTAATCAATACATTAATTTTTTTGAAATAAATTACTATGCTTGAAATGCTAATTTTAAGAAAATATTGCCTAGCTGATGTAGGATTTAATTTATTACAGCATAAAAAATGTATTACCAGGAGCTATTTTTTAAATACAGTGTCTTAATAATGAAAATTAACTGGTTCATTGAATGTTGTTCATATAAAATTGCAATTCTAAAATTTCTTTACAGATTTGAGGAAAAATATTATTTTTAATGCTTCTTTATGTTTAAAAATTTTTATGAAAGGTTCTCTCTGTGCTTTAGTATCCAAATTAAATCACAGAAGGACAAAAATGAGAAAAACAGTGAAAAGCACAAGAAAAATGAGATATATATGGTAGTGAAAAGATAAAAATTGTATTGTAGTAATCTTAAATGAAGAGGAGAGAGAGAATGAAGCAGATGAAATGGGGTAAAAGATAATGGGTGAAAAGCTTTCAGATTGTTTTAAAAATTAATTTATTGAACACAATTGTGTTAAACAACTCTAAATTTAAGATGATTCTGATGATACATTTATTAACAAAATTTTTTCTTGTATTCGCTCTGTAGTTTGTATATAAAATTATTTTAAGTAATCACAAATTTAAAGTAGATAAAAATTCCTATAACCTATTATTCAGCTAAACATTACTTTTTCTGGGTATTTTTTTCAATTCTTTAAAAAATTTACATAAACAAAGAAGGTTTCTATTATACACATTTAAATTAATAAGTTGGTCAAATATGTAAAGAGAGAATGACACATATGAATGACAAGAGAGAGAAAAAAAGACAGTATTAGCACATCTGCATTTAACCCAAATGTTGGATTTACTAAAGCTTTTAAAATACTTATAGCTATCATCCAGTAATAAAATAAATAGATAGGTGATGTGAAAAGAAAATTAGAATCTATAATAAAGTATCGAGTATACATTCTAGAGTTTTAAAAATTTAGTATATAATATTAAAAATTGAGTAGATGGGTTTGACAGATTAGACAGAGCAGATGAGAGCATTAATGAAACAGAAGAGAGGTCAATGGAATATGTCCAAATTAAAGCACAGAGAGGATAAAAAATGGGAAAAGCAGTTAAAAGCATAAGAAATATGAGATACATAGTAAAAAAGATATAAAATTTGTGTTGTAGTAATCTTAAAAGGAGAAGAGAGAAATAAAATAAAGTAGAAGCAGTTAGATAAAGAGGTAACGATTGAAAAGATTTTAAATTGCTTTAAAAAATCAATGAATATTCAAAATGATGAATAATTTCCAAGTAATATACATATGAAGAAAACAAATCTTGGAATTAAATAGTACAAATATTGAAATTCAAGAAAAATGAAAGAATGAAGTCTTAAAGGAGCTACAGTAAAACTAACAGCTGACTTTGAAAGTAAGAATATGGGAGGAAGACAACAATGGACAAAAAATTTAAGTACTAAGTATTAATGGTTTCTTTGCTAATTAGTGCTTTTTAAAATTCGGAGTCATCTTCTTATTTCTGGATTTACTTTTAATTTCCTAAGGCATATACTTAAATATTTGTCAAAAAAATTTTGGATTGTAAATTTTTCCACTTTTTGTACAGTTGAAAATGTTTTCATTTGCTTTCAAAGTAGAATGACTCATTTCTTTGGGAATACAGAGATTTATTGCCTGTTCTTTTAACAGTTTAAAGATGTGACTCCTTGCATTTTTTTTTCCCTATACTGTCTGATTGTAAATGTAATTTTTGTTTCTTATATTATTTTGAAGCTTTAGAATTTTTCATCTTAAATATTCATCCACACATATTTACTGGGTTTTTTTTTTTTTTTTTTTTTTTTTTACATAAGGAATTTCTCTAAGAGCTTAAGATACAGCAGTAAAAATATTCCCTGCTTTCATAGTCCAGAAATGTTGCTTCTATCTAAGGGTGTTTGTGTGTGTGTGTGTGTGTGTATGTGTGTGTGTGTGTGTGTGTGTGTGCATAAAGTTAACTCAGCTTGTTATCCTATAGCATGTTGTTATTTTGAAAACCTATGTTTTCTTTTATTTTATTCCCTTCAGTTTTTCTCAGTTCTTTATTCTGGAGCTCACACTAGTAATATGTTGGAATTTCTGTGTTAATCTTTTTCATCTCTAATATATATTTTATATCTTTATTATTTAATTTGCTGTTTTGGGAAAACACCTAATTTTGAAGTTTTTAAATTTTTTTTTTTTTTTTTTTAAGTCAGAATCTCACACTGTCACCTATGCTGGAGTTCAGCGGCATGCTCATGGCCACTGCAACATCAACCTGATGGGCTCAGGTGATCCTTCTGCCTCAGCCTTCCAAGTAGCTTGAACCACACCTCGCTAAAATTTTTTTTTTTTTTGAGTTGGAGTCTCACTCTGTTGCCCGAGCCTGGCTTGTTTTTGTTTGTTTGTTTGTTTGTTTTTTATTGTAGAGATGAGATCTTGCCAAGTTGCCCAGTCTGGTCTCAAACCCCTGGACTCAGGCAATCTTCTCGCTTCTGCCTTCCAAAGTGTTGGGATTATACCGGCCTACATTTTTTTTTTTTTAGATAAGCACCGGCCCTGCACCGGCCTACATTTTTTTTCTAGATAAGCAATTGTTCAGCCATTCAATTATTTTTGTTGTGAGTAATTTTTTTTTATTTGAACACTTAAATTTTATTTTTATGTGAGAACATTCTTGATGATTTTTTTTTCTGAAAAATTATCTTTATTTAAGGTTTTATCTAGTTTTAATAGTTCTTTTTTTTCAGAATTTGACTCTTTCATCAGTTTAGTGAATGTATTATCTCCTATCCTTTGGGTTAGTTTTCCTTAAATGTTTTCTCAGGTTTGTTGATTTGTTTACTTTGGGTTTAGGAATCTAGTAAAAATAATAACAGAATCATTTTTACACGGGTGGGTTCTTTGTGATACAGGCTTCCCCTGCTGGGTAAGTATTCTAGTAACCCATTGGCTTCAGTGTACCAGCTAGTGTTGTGGTGAGAGGTGGCCTTCGGCTTCAGCAAACTTTTCTTTGGAGATTCTTTCATCATGTTTGACCATTTCATGATGAGTGATTTACACAAACAACCTGACCACACTGTGCTTAGTTTTCAGCAGTGTTTGACCAGAAACTACATTAACGCCTATGCCCCGCCCTCTCTATTCACTCGAACTCATCCCAGTTACTTTTTTTTTTTCTGATGAAAGAAATATCCTCAAAGGAAAATATTTTGCTGATGTGGAAGAGGTGAAACAAAAAATGGCAGAAGCACTTAAAGGCATCATAGTTGACAAGCTCAAAAATTGCTTTGAGTAGTTTAAAAAGCATCTTGATATAGTGCATCAAATGGATAGTGCTTTGAAGATGACTGAAATTTAAACATGTGGGAATATATACACAACTTTTTATTGAATAACTTCTGGAATTTTTTTGGATTCCCCTTTCTATTTTCTCACCTAACTCCAAGTTATTTTATACAATATGTGTTTATAACTCTCTTGATTGTTGAGAAGAGATAATATCTGCAAGTAGACTGGTGCTCATATTGCTTATATGTATGGACTACCTGGCCTTCTTGATATCATAACTTTTACAAAATGATTGTCTGTTTCAGTCCCAGTACTAGCTCTGAGTCTCCTCTATCAGAACTCCCATTTTAGAAGGTTTGAAGTCCTTTTCTCCTTTATAAATTTTGGCTTTTGTTTTTCTGTACCATTCTAATTTTATGTGCTTTCTATCTTAAAATAATTCTTCAAGTTACATTTGGGTGGCTTAGTATACCCATACTATTAGAGTGTCAAGTTACCAACATGATTCAATCTCCCAAGTGTTTAAATAATTAATGCCCTTGAAAATAATAACTTTAGTTCCTCTAAGTGAATTTTATAGTAACTTCTTTAAGATATCAGTTTTAGTATTTATTTTCAATCTATGTTTTAGATGATATTTTAATAAAGTCACATATTTAGTTGATGCTGACTACTACTCATCTTACTTTATTTTAGGAGTTTATTAGAAACTTGCATTTACAAATGGAAGAGGAAAAAACAAGATTTAAAGAGCTACAGGAAAAAGAAAAGATACGTTTGTTAAAACAGCAGCATAATGCAGCTTTAAAAATTCAAGCTAAATATAAAGCATATGTGGCCTGCCAAAAATTTGGCCCAATCATAAAAGAACAAATAGAAAATAAGAAAAGGAAAGCACAGGAGTGGGAAGAAATGGAAACAAAAATACGACAGATGGAAGAAGAAAAACGAAAAAGATTAGAGGAGGAACAAAGAATAGAAGAAGAGAGAAAACAGCAGAAGCAAGAGGAAAGGAAAAGGAGAGAAAAAGAATATGAAGAAAAGAAGAGAATTGTGAAACAAGAAAGAGAGAAATTACTAAATGAGGAAAAATTAAGATTAAGAGAAGCTGCCAGTCAACAGCTAACAATAAGTAGCACATTAAAGAAGGGGGAATGTAATCCCAAACCTTTAACTGTTGAAGATATTTCAAAGAATAAGGGCGATATAGCCAAAAAGCTAGTGGATGAAAATTCAAAGAAGCATAATGATGTTACTCTTTGGGTAATTGAGGACTCAAATAAGAGAGAATATGTAGGAAGACAACTTGTAGTCAAAGAATCAATACAATTAAACCAATCTATAAACCAAGCAATTCCTGAAGATTATAAAATAAAAGATAAAAATGAAATCCTAACAAGAAAACAATATTCAGATACATTGGTCCAGCAAGAAAGAAAATATGAAAATTTAGATGAAAAACCTGAATTGGGAAACCCAGGTCTTAAAGAAAATGTAAAAGGACAGTTTCAGCTGAAAGAATTAAAGTCTAAAGTGCAAAAAGAAGTAACTGTGGAACATGACATAAATGAGAATGTGAGACAAGAAATTCAAATTATAATAGGACATAACCAAGAAATTAATGAGGTGAAAAACAATGAAGCACAGAAAATACTCAAAGATAATAGGCAGAAAAAGGAACAAAACATAGAAACAGAAGAAATACAAGAACAGAATGGATCATTATGTAAAGAGAATAATATTTCAATTATTTCAGTGAAGCACAAACTACTACCACTAATATCAGAACATTCCAAAAATATCAGAGAAAATATAATACTAAAAGAAAACAAAAATTTAAAATCCAAAGACATTGGCAAGAACCCAAAAGACTATGCTCTGAAGAGTGAGGTGATTTTTAACACAACTGATGCCAGGACTAATATAGAAGTCAAAAGAAATAAGCAAGATTGTATTTTAGGTAGATATACTCCTTGTGAATACTTGGGGGTCTGTAATGCAGAAAGCTCCATGGATTCTAAAGAGGTAAACTCTGTTAAGTCTGAGATTAGAGAAATTCCAGAAAAATGTCAAGAAAACAGAACTGAACATGAAACTATCATTACCTGCTCTGGACCACAGTCAACACTTCTGTCTTCTATTGAAGAAAAGAGACTAGCTTGGATAAAATCATTTAATCCTTGGTCTGAAATTTTCAAGCAAAAGCAACAAAAGAAAATGATTAAGAAAAAGAGACCTGTCAGATGCCCAGTCAACATGATGCCCCCTTTAAATACACTAGAAATTCTTCAGTGTGGCCCTTGGGATACTTTACAGCAGGTATTTCTAATTTTATAAACTTAAAAAAATTTAATTGCAAATTAGTTCTCTAAAATTTAAGTTTTCAAATTTTAGTAGAAGGAATACTTTGTATACAAAAATTCTGCCTGTTAATTGATGAAGCTACTTATTTGAGAGGAGATGTATTTAAAATATCTTAACTAAAATTATTAATGGCATCTTCTCCCTAAGTGAAGCACAATAAAAAACTTTAATTTATTACTTTAAAAAATTTGTCAAAGGCTGTACTCAAGGGCCCTGTAGTCATTATTAAGCCTCTAAGAGTGGAAGCATATTGGAATTTAGGATTGGAATTTGAGTAGGAAACTCCTTTTGTTTGAAGTTTGCTTTAAACTTGGGCCACCGCACCACCTAGTGGCTCATTTCAGAATGAGGTAGTTTAAGACAAATTAACAAACGTGTAGAAATAATATTTTAAATAGTGGAACACTAGAAAGGATTTATTATTAGAATACATGTATTTAGCTATGACTTGAAAATCATATGTATTTAGTAAATTTTATTTAGTTTCTTGGTTTAGACAGATGCTTAGGAAAAAGAAACATTCATATTAATAGGTATGCATTATTTTGTTCATTCACTCAGCAAATATTCATCTGATCAATAGGATGATCAATATTTATTAAACCAACAAAACAAAGAAAACCTAGTGTGTGTTCTATGGAGCTTAAACAAATAAGCATACAGATAAATACATTGTTATGGATCTTGATAATTACTATAAATAAGATTTCAGAGTATTTTGGGAGAGGATAATAAAGTAGTGGGGTTTGAAGAGACATTTGAGACATTAATAGTAATATAAGGAATAAAAACTGGACATACATGTAAGGTGTCCTCTGTTTCCTGGGCAATGTATTTGTCATATCCATCAGATCTATAGAGCTACATATAGAATCTCTCATCTGTTCCTCTCTTATTCTTTTTCCCTTAGGCTATGTCATCTCTGGAATAATTATTTTTTGTTGTTGTTTTTTGTTTTTTGTTTTTGAGTTGGAGTCTCGCTCTGTCACCCAGACTGGAGTGCAGTGGCTGCTCTTGGCCACTGCAGCCTCGACCTGCTGGGCTCCGGCGATCCTTCTGCCTCAGCCTTCCAGGTAGCTGGAACTACAGGCGCGCGCTACCACGCCTGGCTGATTTTTGATTCATTGTAGAGATGGTCTCGCCTGCCCAGGCGGGTCTCGAACCACGGACTCAGGCAATCCACTCACCTCAGCCTCCCAAAGGCACGGGATTACAGGCTGAGCCACCAAGCCCGGCTGGAATAATTCTTGTAGTACTTTTTTTTTTCCCCTAAGATCTTGTGGCAGGTTTCCCAATATAATGAAATTGGCAATTACTTAATTTTATTCATGAATATCTGTCAGAGCTAGACTTGAGTGATGGCTTCATGCCTGCAATGTACTTGTGTTAAAAGTAAAGCTGAAGTTAGAGAAACAGTAGTGATCTTCCATTTCTTTGTAGGTTGCTGTTCTGTCCAATGAGAAGAGCATGGAGGAAGTTAAGATGTATGAACCTCTTTCTCCTTAGATTTCTTCTCCAGTCCACTCTATTTTTTCTTTGGAATTCTTGTCAATTTACATAAAATGAAGATTGACCTTTTCTTTTGCTTCTTAGAGTAAGGCCTGACAAACTGTAATGTGTATATATATTACCTGGAGATTTGGTAACATGTTGATTCTGTTTCATTGTTCTGCATTTTTGCAATACTTTTAAGTGATGCTCTTGATTTTGGTACATGGACTAATTTGGGTAGCAATGTTTTGAAGAACACTATAAGTCTCTCATCACTACTCAAAGCAACTATTTCAAGTTTTTAATTTTGTTTTGATGCATCAACTATATGGTATAAAGATAAAAAATACACATGTATGTGACATATAAATGCTTATGTGTTAACCAATATCATTTTTTGTTTCCAGACAACTCCTGTAATTATTCTTGTTTGGCAGATGGTTCATCGTGATGTCTTCATTGGGCCACTGCTACTGACCCATAGCTTACTTTTTTACTTTGTTTTTCTAATCTCTTAGCTTCACAGTTTTATCCTTATCCTGATCACCCATGGTCCTTCTGAAGACAGTTTTTAGAAAAGAAAAGTTTACTTTTCTAGAATTTCACACAGAAATAAACTCATTTTTCTTATATTAATCTTTCCAATTGAGACTTCAGGACATGAGTTAGGTCTTCCTTTGGTCTACAATTCTTTACACATTGCCAGAAAAGTACAGATGTTCCTTGACCTACATTGGTTTTGTCCTGAAAAATGTAAGTTGAAAATGCATTTAACATGTTCGGAACACTTATGCTAGTCTTCAGTTGGGCAAAGTCATTTGGCAAAACAGTATACTGTAGAGTATCAAATGTTTATTCTCTGATTGTGTTGGTCGACTGGGCACTGCAGCTCACTGCCAGTGTCTGGCATTGTGAGAAAGTATCATACTGTGTATCACAGCCTGGAAAGAGACAAAAATTCAAAATTCGAAGTAAGGTTTCTTTTTTTTTTTGAGTTGGAGTCTCACTCCATCGCCTAGACTGGATTGCAGTGGCACGCTCCTAGCCACCGCAGCCTTGACCTGCTAGGCTTCGGCGATCCTTCCGCCTCAGCCTTCCGAGTAGCTGGAACTACAGGCGTGTGCTATCACACCCGGCTAATTTTTGATTTATTGTAGAGATGAGTTCTCGCTAAGTTGCCCAGACGGGTCTCGAACTCGCAGGCTCAAGCAATCCACTCACCTCGGCCCCCCAAAGCACTGGGATTGCAGGCTGAGCCACTGAGCCTGGCCCAAAGTAAGGTTTCCACTGATTGCATACCACTCTCACACCATTGAAAAGTCAAAAAATCATTACGTCAACTGTCTCGTCGGGACCCAACTTTAGTGGTTTTCAGCATTTCATTATAGGATGGATAGATGGGAAGATGAATAAATAGATGAATAAAGAATTCCAGCTGAATGTTAATATTATCTCTACGTTACTACTAGCTTCACAGTTTAGAGAATATTGATTAAAAAGAACATTAATGTAAAAATTGAATGTAATAGAGTACTAACAGGCCTTATATTTTATAAGAACTTGTTTCTGATTTTATGTAATTCTGCCCATATACTGGCTGTGTCATCTGATGCAAGATGCTTGATCTTCCTGAGCTGCTTTTGTCTTTTGCAAATGGGAAGAGCAATATGTGTTTTATAGGATTGCTGAGTTTTAAAATGTTGTATGTGAAGAACTTGGCCTGTGATTCCTAATATATAGAATAGTCCAATAGTCACTAGTCAAATGAAGTTCTCAAGCAAGTGAAGAGAAAGGCAAATGGATTTTTGGGGACTGCTTAATAGCCTATTTCAGCAACGATGTTATAAAGTTGGAAACATAGAGGGATCGATCATCCCATGATATGCAGTAATATCCCAAAAGATGGGACTAAAGAGTAATGATAATAGATAATGAACACATTTTTACTTTTTCTTGTTTTTATGTTCAAATTAATTAATCTTTCTTTCTTTCTTTCTTTTTTTTTGAGTTGGAGTCTCACTCTGTTGCCCAGACTGGAGTGCAGTGGCCACTCCCGGCCATCGCAGCCTCAACCTGCTGGGCTCCGGCTCTCCTTCTGCCTCAGCCTTCCAAGTAGCTGGAATTACAGGCATGCGCTACCATGCCCAGCTGATTTTTTGATTTATGTAGAGATGAGGTTTCGCTGCCCAGGTGGGTCTCGAACCCGCGGGCTCAGGCAATCCACTCACCTCAGCCTCCCAAAGGTGTGGGATTACAGGCTGAACCACCGAGCCTGACTAATCTTTCTTTTATTTTTCACATTTTTCTACTAAGGGTAACTTGTTTTATAAGAACAAAAGTTTGTCTGAGGTTAAGGATTTTTAAATACTGCTTTAGACCATAATGTGAGTGATGACATTTTAGCTGCTGATAAACTTTTAGATCACAATGTCTCACTTCTCTTATACAAGGTAAATTGTAATGAACTGCTGTTGGGTCTATATATAAATTACTTGAAGTTATTTTCTAGCCATTTTGTTAAAGTCACTAAACATAACTCAGACTCATGTCTTTTCCTTTGCAGCTGAGTTTTAAAATGGTTTTGTTTTTCTGTGTTGCATAGATTTGAGGTTAGGATACTGAACAAACATTTTGAGAAAAGTAAAAAATGGAGGTATCTATTTCATTAATTTTGTAATAATTGTTTACCATAGATGACTGACACACCTTAGGATGAGCTCAATAATTCAGAGTGAAATCTCTAAAAAATATACAGCTATTGTAGATCATTTTATATACAATGAACTGTCACAGATTTCAGAAAATATAATTAAGTGGAAAGCTGATTTATGATCTTTTATTAAAATATATGAATGATCTATAGGTTCTATATGTAGAACAATTCATTCTCAAGTAATGAGAGCCTGAAAATATGCATTTTCAAATATTTTTATATTTTTTCTTTATAAGGGAAATAAACTTTGAATGCTATAACTACCTGCATATTTGCGTTTGCCACAGGCTAGTAAAGATTATTTATTTAAGAAATATTTAGCCAACACCCATTCTGCTCCAATTGCTGTTTTTTAAGTTAGCCGTGCAGCAATGACCACAGTTGATTACTGCTTTAGGAAAACTCTCAAATTGAGTTTTTTCCTCTGCTCTCACACAACAACAATTATCAGCACAAAAGAAGTCTTCTGTGACCTAACGTAGGCATTTCTTCCCATCACCAAGCAGTGGACACCAGCTGGGTGTCCTTCAATTCAATTCCAACACGTCTACCTTGAGATAGTGCCAGATCCCACAGGGTGAGGGCTCAGTACAAAAAGACTGCCCTTCCTGGCCCCCAGATACCAGTTCCATGTCCTGGCCTCCACAGCTTCTGACTGACCAGCTTCAAGTTATGGTTCCTACAACCCTCTCTTTGAGTTTGATTAATTTGCAGGAGTGGGTCACAGAACTCAAGGAAGTACTGTTGGTTTATTATAAAGGACATTGCAAAGAATACAGATGAAGGGGTGGGTAGGGTGAAGTATGGGGGCAGGGGCACAGAGCTTCCATCCGTCCCTGGGCGTTGCCCTCCAGGCATCTTCACATCATGTTCGGCTATCCTGAAGCTCTCTGAACCTGCCTTTTGGGTTTTGAGGGAAGCAACATGACATCAGTCTTCCATTACTCAGGGTATAGGATGGGGCCCTCTCTGGCGAGGATCTTAAGACCCATAATCAGAAAAACAGAAGATAAAACGTAGGTGAAAGGAGGGCAGGAGAAGGCAGCAAGGACTATGGAAATTATGAACCATTTTTAAATCATAAAGCAGTTTTATGTATGTGATTAATATCAAGTGTGTATCAATAACTAATACAAAAATATCTTTTGATGTTTGGAAAAATGTAGGATGGTGTAGATAAGGCACTGCTATGCTGTGAGGACTGTTTTATAATGTTAAATGAACAGGAGAGGCCGGGCTCGGTGGCTCAGCTTGTAATCCCACGCTTTGGGAGGCTGAGGTGAGTGGATTGCTTGAGCCCGCGGGTTCGAGACCCGCCTGGGCAACTTGGTGAGACGTCATCTCTACAATTTAAAAAAAAAAAAAATAGCTGGGGGTGGTAGTGCGCGCCTGTAGTTCCAGCTACTCAGAAGGCTGAGGCGGAAGGATAGCTGGAGCCCAGTAGGTCGAGGCTGTGGTGGCCGCGAGTGGCCACTGCCCTCCAGTCTGGGCGACAGAGTGAGACTCCAACTCAGAAAAATAAATAAATAAACAGGAGAAAGAAATACTAAAAACTCCATATATTTGAATGTAATACCACTAACAAGGACACTGTAGCAGTTGCTACTCTTGTGCTGTAACAAAATTAAACTACAGAAATTGATACATCATAAATAACTAGAACTTAATTGTGCTCATATAGTCGCTTGAAAGCGGCATGTTATTAAATTAGTCCAAATAATATGAATATAATGTTGAATAGCATTTGTTACCATCTAGCTATAGTTGCCAACTTTTCAATTTTTAAGTGCTTGATTCTGAATAGTGTTTTTATATTTATAGTATAGAGACAGTTTTCCAATTACAGGATTTATATCTGCCTGTGTATAGATTAAATGAGCAACACATAGACACTATCTCCACACAAATGGATTAATATATTTTATTTCTGAAAAATAAATTTCTTTCAAAAATTTACTGTCTATGAATGATTGAGAAATTCATAAAAATAATTATGCAGCCAGAAACTCTTGTTTACTTGAAGTTTTAGAAATATCAGTTATCGCTTCTACCACTTAAAGCAAGGAGTAGACTAATTTCCTTCTTTCTTCACTCTAAACAGATGGTTTTGTTCTTTACTTACATAAATATGTAAATTTAAAATTTGTAATTTAATTTAATGCACAAGAAATATTTCATATGAAAAGGAGTTGCTGCACTTTGGAATTTTATATATTTCTAGAATTTTTGAAATAATTTTAATAGAATACTTTTGTAATTACTTTTAAGTCTGATGTACACTAGACTCTTCCTATAAGCCAATGATTTAAAAATTAGTATTTAGTACATGTGAAATCTGACCTTAATATTCTTGATGTGATAATATGAAACTATTCTTATTTTAAAGAGATTTAGTTTATATAGTTATTTCAGTGCATGGACTACGTTACAATGTATATCCGATATATTATTGCATTCTTCCTCTGCCATGTTATTTAGGTGAGAGCGCTTGGGTTTAATTAGTGGGGTGCTTCTTTTAATTTTTATTTTTTGAGACAGGTTCTCAGTCTCTTGCCTAGGTTGGAGTACAGTGCCGCAGTCAGGCTCACTGCAGCCTTGACCTCCTGGGCTCAAGTGATCCTGCCAACTTATCCTCTGGAGTAGCTGGGACTGCAGGCTTGTACTACCGTGCCTGGCTAATTTTTATTTATTTTTGTAGAGATGGGGTATTGCTCTATTGCCCAAGTTGGTCTCCCGCTCCTGGCCTCAAGCAATTTTCCTGCCTTGGCCTCCAAAAATGCTGGGATTATAGGCATGACTCACTATGCTTGGCCTGGAATGGTTTTCTGATCCCTTTGGAAACATTTCTATCTGACATTGTCTTGTAGAGCTATAAGTACAGTTTTAATATACCTGCAATACAGTTAAATACACTCTCTGCTACTGTTTTTTTCTTTAATTAAAAAGACTAGAATCAAGAAGGTAGAAAAGTTCCTTAAGAACAAAATCTATGTGAAGTATGATATCCAAAGGAACATCTCAAAAAATATAAATGTATAGCTTTCAAAATACAAAAAAATAGCATTCATGATTTACTATTTCACAAATTCTGTAAGCTCTGGGTATATTAAATTATTCAGGAGTAAGGGAAAATTTAGATATTTATAGTACAGAAAACTTGTAAAATGTTATTTGCATTGCATGGTTTAATAATCTTTATATGGTTCTACTTTTAGGTTCTATAATTTCTCAGTAAGAACTTTCTTCTTTTTTGGGAGCTGGCTGAGCTATTTAGTTGAAGCCTGGCAGACTGGATACAAAAATCTATCCTCTAAACTCATGACCCCTAATATTATCCAGGGATCCCTAGAATTTTCAAACGCAGATCATAACATGCATGTAGTGTGATTTTGAAAATAATGCCATAGGCATGAAAAACAAAAAAATGGGAACTTGGTGAAAAACCAGGGAATGAACTAATAACATGATTACTTTGTTGCTTTTATGCATTTAACTTTTAAACTTAAATAGATCATGAATGACTGCATTATTTTGTCCTATGTGGGAAACAAAAGACACTAGGTAGCTTGACTAAAATTGAGTTGCTACGTGAGTTCCTATATGTAGTATTACTTTTCTTAAATGAATTTTCTAAACAATTTGCAAGTCTAATGTAGTTTGTATTCAGTTTTGTTAAATAACATTATTCCTTCCAATTTTCTTGAAATTTCTAGGTCACAACAGTTGCATTTCAAGATTTGCCAGGTTGTAGTCTCTCCACATTGGCAGAGTGTACAAATCTTCAGTTTCTGTCTCTTCGACGCTGTGGATTAACTTCTTTGCACAACCTGAGTAACTGCAAAAAACTTAAGTACATTGATGCACAGGTATGTCCTCCATTCTACTTTTATTATAATGAAATATAAAACGGATCAATGTTTACATTTCAGAAATGATAATTTTGGAGAAAGTTACTTAAATAACTCATAATTCAGTCTAAAGAAATTAAGGGCCTAAATTAGTAAGAACTGGGGGGGATGTTGAATGGTTATGTGAGCTGGAAATTTCTTATGTATTTTTGCTGATAATGTGTTTATTGTTTCTGTTAATTTTGGTTGCTTAGCAAATGACTATATTACTTTTAGTGGCTTAAAAAAAACAACAACAATCATCTTATTTGCTCATGATTCTGTGGGCCATGAATTGAGACCAAACTTGGTTAGGCATTTCTTCTGATTTATATTGTATTGTCTCAATCTTTTATGTAACTGCAATTGGATGGAAGCTAGGACTAGAATGTTCAAAATTACTTCTCTTATATGTCTGGCCCCTTATCAAGGATGTCTGAAAGGTTGGATTCTCTCTTGTCTATTATAGTCTTCTTTCCAGTGTGGCCATACAAGACTAAGTGTTCCTAAAAGGCAAACTCTAATATGCAAGTACTTATCAAGCAACTGCTTGCATGCTGTGACCCAAAGTTTAATTGGCCACACTCTGAATTTTTATGAGAGGGGACTGTGGATGTGTGAATATTGTTTTGTGAGGTTCACCAGGGGCTACCAAGGTAAGTCTGTTACAATATACTTCCCAGCTCTTAAAAATTCACATCCTTTCTCCACATATATAGAATATATTCATGTTCCAAAGACCCCCAGATCTCATCAACTTATAGTATCAGGCTCAAACTTGAAGCATAGGATCTTCTCATCTAGGTCATATCCAGGTAGCAATGAGGCTTCTCTGGTACACTTTCTTGGTTGCATCTACTGAAGTAGAATTCTCTTAACTCAGATATCTGCAAAATAAAATTAGAAGTTTTCTGTCTCCTCTCCCCTACATATGGTGGTGAGACAGGGCTTGGTTTACTATGATAGTAATTCCCATTCAAAATGGGAGAAACTAGACTAACAATATATCCACTCTTCTTAGATTGTTTAAGATGTTTTGTTATATTGTCCTCTGTATTTTCTATCTTATAAAATAATGTTAATAAATAATTAAAATGAATTATTTATTACTTAATATTTTCATCAAATATTTTAACAGTGTATTGTGCATGGTTATCTTAGAAGTTAGCGATCTAGATATTTATTTGAAGATCTAATCTCATCCTTCCTTGTTTTGCAAGCTTCAAATATTTTATTAACAAGTTATTAAAATAAAACTAACTACCTTTATTCTTTGCTTTAGGAAAACCATATTGAGACTATGAACTGTGAAAATTTGGAAAATCTCTGTGTTGTGCTTCTTAATAAAAATCAACTGACTTCTCTTCATGGTTTGGATGGCTGCACTAATATTCAAAATCTTGAACTTTCACATAATAAAATCACCCGAATAGGTGAGAGCTATGAAATTTTAATATTGAAACATTTATTTCTCATAACTATTTTGTTTCATTTATTCTTTTTTAAAAGTAAATCACATCACTAATTTATATATTTCACTTATGCTATACTTATTTAATCTATTTAAAATAGGAAAATAGAATCACTTTTAATGTTTATAAAAAGAATATATCCCCCCCCACTGGCAAACAGGTATGTTAGCAGCCTCTTACATTTGTATATTCACTTCTGTCTTCCTTTTCCTATAACCAGTAATGATCTGAATTCTACTGTAAAATATAACACCTCAATATGATGCCATAATACTTTTACAAATCCTGTGCTCTCCCCACTTCTCAGTAATTGTACTGTTTTCTCAGCAATTGTCATAAACCCTTTCATTACTATTCTCCTGGGCTACATACATTACTTATACTAACTAATCTTTCCTTTTTTAGGCAAGGCTGCTCACACCACATGAAATAATTCATCAAGCTAGGTTTACCCAAGATTCTCAATCCCTCCATTACTATATCTGCATATCTATATAACGTTTTTTACTTTCCTCCTCATGTGTTACAACTCAGCAGTGAAAATATATTTTCTCACTTAAGGCCAGTTCTATTGTCTTTTACTAAACATTTTTGTGGGCCCAAGTTTACCTTTGTTTTATTTATTTTTTTATTTAGAGACAGGATCTTGTAATGTTACTCAGGTTGGTTTCAAACTCCTGGGCTCAAGTGATTCTTCAACTCAGCATCCCAAGTAGCTGGGACTACATGTGTACACTATCGTGTCTTAATAATCCCATTTTCTATAAATATTCTTATCAGTCCCATCTGGAACCTTATTTAATCACTTTTCTTTCTGTCAAAATCTTCCTATTACTACTGTTTCCTACCTCTCATGTTTCTAAAACTAAAAAAAAAGAAACTGAAAATTTTATTTTCTCTCACATTAGATTCTACCATTGCCTCATCTGTCTTATTCTTTGTTGTCAACTTTTGGGGAAGAATGTGCTGTGCTTGCTTTCACCTCTTATTTTAATTTTATAATTTACCTATTATAGAGTTGTGGGATACAAATGAAGATTTACTACATACGTAGGCTGCTTGCAGGTAAAATTTGGACTTCTAGCTGGCTCTGTTTTCCGCTGGTAGTGCACCAGGTACCCTTTGTATTATCACGTGCCCCTTTCCTTCCTTCCTACTTCCCTCCCCTAGCAGTATCCAGTGACTGCCCATCCCACCTTTTGTGCTAATGTGCTAGTGTTCAAGGCCCACTAGTGAGTAACCACTAGTGTGGTGTTCAGTTATTTGTTTTCTGTAATAGCTCACTTAGGATGATGGTCTCCAACTGCATGCAAGTTGCTGAAAAGGCTATGATTTTGTTCTTTAGGGCTGCATAATACTCCATCTTATACGTACCATATTTTCTTTATTTACTCCACTTTCAATGGACAACAGAATTTGTTCCATGTTTTTGCTATTGTGAATAGTGCAGCAATAAACATACATGTGCATATGTCTTTTTGATAAAGTAATAATTGGCATTCCTCTGGGTATAGTCCCAGGAGCAGGGATTGCTGGATCATATGAGGGATCAATTTTTAATTCTTTTAGGAGTTACCATACTGCTTTCCATAGAGGTTGAAATAGCTTCTATTCCCACCAAGAGTACAGAAGTGTTCTCTTTTCTTTGCAGCTGTGCCAGCACCTATTGGTTTTTGACTTATTAATGATAGCTATCCTTACTGGAGTTAGGTGGTATCTCATTGTCGTTTTGATTTGCATTTCTCTGATGATTAGTAAGGCTGATCATTTTTTCATGTGTCTGTTGGCTGCTTGAATTTCATCTTTTGAGAGGTGTCTGTTCATATCCTTTCCAAATTTTAATGGGGCTGTTTGCTTTTTTCCTTTCAGTTTATTTGAGATCCTTGTAGATCCTGGATATTAGGCCTTTATCTGATGCATAGTTTGACATTTTCCCCCCATTCTCTGGGTTGTCTCTTTCTTCTCTTGATGGTTTCTTTATCTGTGCAAAAACTTTTCAGTTTGATGGGGTATCACCAGTCTATCTTAACTTTTGTAGCACTCATTTTTGGGGACTTGGTCATGAATTCCTTGCCTACTCTGTGTACATTAAGGGTTAAGGGTGTTTCCTACAGTTTTTTCTAGGATTCTTATAGTTTGAGTTTTTATGTTTATGTCCTTGATCCATCTTGAGTTGGTTTTTGTATATGGTGATAGGTAGGGGTAGAGTTTCATTCTTCTGCATGTGCTTATCCAGTTTTCTCAGCACCATTTGCTAAATATGGTCTCCTTTTCCAAATGCTTGCTTTGGTGAATTTGTTAAAGATGAGTTGGTTGAGAAACTGTGTTTTGGCTTCTGGAAACTCTGTCTTGATCCATTGTTCTATGTGCCTATTCCTGTACCAATATCATGCCGTGTTGATTACTGGAGCCCTGCAATAAAGTTTAAAGTCTGGAAATGTGAAACCTCCTGCTTTGTTCCTCTTCCTGAGGATTGTTTTGGCTATTTGTACTCTTTTTTTGTTGTTGTTTCCTTATGATTTCTGTATTGTCATTTTCAAGTCTGAGAAAAATGATGTTGGTAATTTGATGGGTATTGCATTGAATCTGTGGATTGCTTTGGATAGGATGGACATCTTGGCAATATTGATTCTTCCAATCTGTGAACATGGTGTGTTTTTCCATTTGCTTGTGTCATCCTTTATTTCTCTGAGTAGAGTTTTGTAGTTTTCATTGTAAAGGCTTTTCACTTCTCTGGTTAAGTAGATGCCAAGGTATTTCTTTTTCTTTTTTTGATGGCTATTGTGAATGGGATTGTGTTTTTATTTGGTTCTCTGCCTGCTTGTTACTAGTGTATAGAAATGCAACTGTTTTTTCCATGTTGATTTTGTAACCTGAGACCTTGCCAAATTCATTTATCAGTGAGGGGAGGCATTTGACAAGATTTTGTAGGGTTTTCTAGGTACGCTACATCATACATCAAGAGTGATAGCTTAACTGTCCCTATTTGGATAGCATCGGTTTCCTGCTCTTGCCTGATTACTCTAGCTAGGACATCCAGCACTATGTTGAATAGGGGGGACGAAAGTAGGCATACTTGTCTTGTTCTAGTTTTTAGGGTGAATGCTTCCAGTTTCTGCCCCTTGATCAAAATGTTGGCTGTGGGTTTATCATAGATGCTTCTTATTGTTTTGAGGAATGTTTCTTCTATGCCTAGGTGTTCTGAGGCTTTTATCAAGAAAGGAGGCTGGATTTTTGTCAAATGCTTTTCTGTGTCTAATGAGATAATCATGCAGTTCTTGGTTTTACATCTGGTAATGTGCCGAATTACATTTATGGTCTAGTGACTGTTGAACCAGTCCTGCATCCTGGGAATGATGCCCACCTAGTCATGGTGGGTGATCCTTGAGATGTGTTGTTGGATATAATTTGCTAGACTCTTGTTGAGAATTTTTGCATCTAGTTGCACCTGGGAGATTGGCCTGTAATTCTCTTTTCTTGTTGGGTCTCTGCCTGATTTGGGTATCAGTAAGATGTTACCTTCATAGAATGAGTCAGGGAGAATTTCATCATTCTCAATTGCCTGGAATACTTTCAATAAGGTTGGTATTAGCTCCTCCTTGAATATCTTATTGAATTCAGCTGGGAAGCCATGTGGTCCAAGTCTTTTTTTTTTTTTGCAGAGTTTTCTTATGACTGAGTCAATTTCCTAGATTGTTATTGGTCTGTTTAGAGTTTCAATTTTTTTTGTTTCAACCTTGAGATATTGTGTGATGCCAGAAAATTCTCAATTTCCTTGATTTTGTAGTTTATTTGCATATAGGTGTTCATCGTAATTTCTGGTAATCTTGTAAAATTTTTCATTTTCAGTTGTGTTACCACCTTTTCATTTCTAATTGTGTTTATTTAGAATTTCTCTTTTTAGTTGAGTCAATCTGACTAGGGATCCATCAATCTTTATTTATCCTTTCAAAGAATCAGATTTTTGTGTTTTTTAAACTTTCTATGTGATTTTTGTCTTCTGTATGCTGCATTTGTGACTTTATCTTAGTTATCTGGATTTTTCTGCAGAAATTAAGTTTTAGATGATTTTGTCTTTCCAGCTCCCTTAGGTGTGACATTAAACTGTTTACTTCTGATGTTTCTATTTTCTGTGCCCATGCTATAAATTTGCCTTTCAACACTGCTGTCATGACATCTCAGAGATTCTGATAAGATGTGTCTTTGTTTCTGTTTTGTTTCCAGGAATCTTTTTATTTCTGTCTTGATTTCTGTGTTGACCCAAAAGTCATTCAGCAGCATGTTGTTTAGTGTCCATGTCTTTGTGTGTTTTGGAGGGATTTTGTTGGCAACAATATTTATTTTTATTTCACTGGGATCTGAGAAGATGCATATTATTTCAGGCTTTTGAAATTTTTCACACTGGGCTTATGTACAAGAATGTGATCAATCTTGGAGTATGTTCCATGTGCTAATGAATAGAATATATATTCTTCTACACATATACAGTATAGTTGCTGGGTGCAGTGTTATGTAGATGTCTATTACATTTATTTGATTGAATATCAGGTTAAGGTTCTAGATCTCTTTATTGCTTTTTTGCTGTAATGATCTGTCTAGGGTTGTTAGCAGAGTATTGAGGTCTCCAACTATGATTATGTGAGTATCAATGGCCTGTCTTAGTTTACTTAATATTGTTCTTATAAAACCTGGTACTTCTGTGTTGGGTGCATATATGTTTAAGATGGGTGTTTCTTACTATTGGATTGAGCCTTTCTTCATTGTATAGTGTTATTCTGTGTCCTTTTTAACTTTTGATGGTTTGAAGTCTTTGTCTGATTTCAGAATAGCTACTTTTGCTCTTTTCTGCTTTCCATATGCCTGAAAAGTCATGTTCTAGCCTTTAATTTTGAACCTGTGAGTGTTCTTTGCAGTGAGATGAGTTTCCTGGAGCAGCCGAATGTTGCATCATGCTTCTTTAT